CTTGCATGTGGATCGAATGGCAGTCTGACGAAACCGTAATTCAACGAATATGGTATGTCTGCCGATTTTTACTTAAATGTTATAAGTAAAAATAATTTACACAAAATCATGAATTTTCAGGCCCGTAACCAGTGCAATAGCAGAGCGGCTTTGGTACTACATGGCGCCGAACCCAGATGAATTCGGTCCGCGTCTGGAGGAACAACGTTGTCGTCTACTCCGGTGAATTAAACTTCTTCTAAATGACCAATTCTATAGCTAATGTGTGGCAACTCCCAGCTCATGTTGACTTGTTTTTTGTTGGTACGAGACTGAGCATTTTTTCTAAAACTAGTATTTTTACGGTTTGTGTTGCAGACGTGGCGTTCCTGTGGGAGTTGCCAGCGGTCCAGGCATGTGTCCACTGCCTTCAGATCCAGGCGGTGACAGTTCTCGTTATGGTAGCATTGAAGTCAAAGGGATTAGGAGCACCGCAAGCGACGAATTCATACGCCGTTTAGGGGTGCACGAGATCCTTCTCCTTCTTTTTTTCGGCCTGGCCCTCTTCATTATTGGATACTTTGCAGGGCGCCAAGGTCTGGCAGCTCACCTTTCTAGTGTCTTAAAAACGATCTCTGCTAACAACTTTGCCATTGCTAGCACCACTAGAATCGGTCGATTCCGAAAGTTTATATTTATTGCTCTTTTTGTCTGTTTCTTGACATTCATTGCTGTCCTGCTTCTCGCCTCAACTACTCCCCACATCGGCGGACTGTTGAGCTTCACTTCCCCCGGATAAACATCTCTTTTCTTTTACCAGATTTGCAATGTTTGAGTAGCCGGTGGAGAACTGCTATTATTTTTGCCTTTGTTACCTCTTACAATTGGGATCGACTGCTAACCCACTCAGCCATGACATATCCACACCTCTTTGAAATATATGCATGCAAAGAACCTTTATATCCATTAGCAATTATGGTGAGCCAACGGCGATTTGAGTAAAGCATCTTTCGAGATGTCGAAAATCGGTGGTGATGGACGCATTTTACCGTAGTAGGTAAAGCTTCTTAGAAGTTGTTATAAAGATGCCAAATGCGCAGATAGTAGACGCCAAGGGCAGCAGGACGATAATAGTAATCATGCATCCTTCAGACGATTTATGATTTTCCATCGGTTGGCTCAAAGTCTATCGTTTGGCAGTAGCAGCTACGAATTCCTCTGTTTACAAATAATGACGCCTCT